TTGCTGGGGAGGCGGTGGGCGACAGCTGGAGTTGACCCGTCCCCCCAACACATACACACACACACATACGGAGTCGCAACAGTTGCTGGGGAGGCGGTGGGCGACAGCTGGAGTTGACCCGTCCCCCCAACACATACACACACACACATACGGAGTCGCAACAGTTGCTGGGGAGGCGGTGGGCGACAGCTGGAGTTGATCCGTCCCCCCAACACATACACACACACACATACGGAGTCGCAACAGCCGCTGGGGAGGCGGTGGGCGACAGCTGGAGTTCAGCGCCTCTCGCGGGCGCCCGGTTGCAAAGCCAGGAGGGAGCCGAGCCATCCTGGGTCCGTGCAGGGCTTACCGGGAGGGGGGGAGCAGGTGAGGGGGGGAGAAAGAGGGGGCTGGGAAGGCGATGGGAGTTGTAGTCCAACAGCCGCAGAGGGTGCTAGGGTTTAAGACAGGCTGGTTGGAGGGCATCCTCGACTTACAACATTTCATTTAGTGACCGTCCAAAGTTACAACAGCAGTGAAAAAAGTGACATGTGACCCTTTTTCACTCCATCACCCTGTGGTCAGGTGAGGAGAAACAGAATGAGGGGGGCTGGAGGAGGAGGAAGATTGTGGGATCCTTGATGCTCTCTTAGCTTGGTAGTTTTCTTGCAGATGTCTCATGACCCACCTAGGTAGCATCATCAGTTCTAGCTGCCATTTTCATTTCCTATAAACTGTGACTTCGGGAGAAAATTAAGATAATTGATCTTTGCTCTCCAGAAGTCATACAAAAGTACAATTTTTGCTTTACAAGGCCATCTGTGTTCTTTTTTTTTTTCTTTCTTTCTTTTTTTCTTCTTTCTTTCTTCTTTCGCAAGACCCATATGCAGTTTGAATAGATACGTCCACCATTCCGTTTCTAACATCTCCTTTTCCTTTTAAAACCATTTTTGACCAGGCATGAGAATGCTTCAAGGAAAAGAGGATATTTTTGCTGACTGCCGGCAGAAATTCTGGAACACCTATAAGGTAAGCGCTGGCCTGTCACACACACAGGTGCCTATCAATTAAAACATCTGTAGCATCTTTTTTTAAAAAAAAACAAAACAACACTTTATTATATATTATGAAATAGGTCAAGACATAAGTAGCACAAATAAGAAAATCGGGCACAGATACCAAAATACGGGCAGATAAACAGCCAATCTGACTTATCATTAAACAAATAGGCCTTTGTTCTTTCATTTTTGTATTCTTAAGCTTATGCAATATAATTTAAAAAAAACGGACTAATCTACTCCAATACCTCACATGAAGCTTCTAACATTATGAGATATTTTAAATCAGGGGTCTTCAAACTTAGCCCCTTCATGACTTGTGGACTTCAACTCCCAGAATTCCTCAGCCAGCATGGGGGAACTATGGCCCCTTCATGACTTGTGGACTTCAACTCCCAGAATTCCTCAGCCAGGTATGCTGGCTGAGGAATTCTGGGAGTTGAAGTCCACAAGTCATAAAAGGGCCAAGTTTGAAGACCCCTAGTTTACATCCATTTTCTAGACAAAATCTGCTTCTCTCTGTTAGTCATTATGCTAAAATAATCTTCGTTCACTTTGTTCACATCAGTGAAAGAAAACTTTAGTAACTAACACCTTCCAAGTACAGGTAG